GTAGCGGTCAAGGATGTGCGATCTACTACAACCACTACACTAAGAGTATTCCCTCTGATGAAAGAAAGCAATCAGAAAGGCAAGTTATCGCCAATGGACTGTTTACTCGCGTGTGATAAATGCGTCCGTCTGGGGAACGTAAACACAAGGGACTAGATGCGTAAGATAGCCTTGCCTGCCAGCGTAACCTCGACTAAGCTGAGGTCAAGTATGGGGGCTGTCATGCTTTAGTAGAGCGTCTGTTATTTAGCGAGCTTGTCGCGACGGTTGGGATACAGAAGAAAAGGGAAGCAGCTGCTGTCAGCTAGCCGGAAAGGGAACACAGTGAAACAACTGCTATCTCAAACCTAGGGGGCCGAAACGCCAGATATTGGTCGAGATTAAATTGATTCTAATACACGTCTCGGCGGCGGCACGTTCTTGAAAGTACCAAAATCACAAAATCTGAAGTTTCTAATTCCAATTTTATCTGAAGGAGCCAGACGCAATCATCAAAAGAGCCACATCTGGCTCGCCAGCCATAGGTTGCCTACCCCGGTTCTAGAAGGATCAGGACCCTATAAATAGACTGGAGTGGACAAGCTAAAAACATCAACTGCCTCTCTGTGTGCTCTTGAATAAAGTCTCTGCCATCAGGACCGGCTCTTTGCTTTCTTCTGCCTATAAGTCGGGATGTTACAGTAGTGAGGCAAATGTTCGCATTCCAGCCATGTGTATAGACAGAGGGAGAAGGCGTTTCGATCACCGGAATCATAATCTTATTCGTCTGAGCTTTCGGGCTCTTACAAGGGTGCATCATCAGAGGTGATAGAATCAACAAAAAACAATCAAAGGTCAATCAACCACCAGTTCCGTCAGCCCGGAGAGGCCTGCACAGGGCGATGTATGCCGGTGCCATATCGATAAATCGATTGGCAGCGTCCTCATCCGAGGCCCAGGCCCAGGCTTCAACCAATTCTCGGCCTGTCTTTATGCCGGCGTGGGCGACTACCCTCGCAGCTGCGAAGTTAAACTCGTAACCCGTCTCGTAGGTGTGGGCAGCCACCTGTGACAAGGCGTCACCCCGTCTGGCAGCCCGCTTATGTTCGTGTATGCGCGAACTAAGCATGCGCCCACTCTGCCCTGTGTAATTTCGGGGACAG